TTGTCGGAGCGACTCTGCCTCGCACGCTTCCATGATTTCTCTCGTCCTTTACCATTTTATCCTTTCTATCTGCTTCCCAGGCCTGCATTGTTCGTATCATGAAGACTCGAAAGGTGATGCCCCACAACCAGCTTATTAATGAAGTGATTACCCAACTGTCTTCTCGGTTCAAGCCGACTATACCCCTCATTAAGGTGAGTACTGCCCATTTTCTGCTTTCCTCTTTACGAATTGTGCCCCTTATTATGTTCCACAACTTGTATTGATTACCAGCACTTTGTAACATGAGTGCAACACGCACCGTCTTCTCTCCGTTGCCTTTTTGTTGTAAGTGTATTATTGAACCTTTTGGTAAATATTTGTGAGACGACACCTACTCTAACTCCTTCGTGAAGTCGAAGAGTTCCTCCTGATCGGTTTCTTGAATGGAGGTGCGAAATGCATCATAACTGATTGCATAAGTCTTAGTGTTCTCGAGACTTGCACTCCAACGCATTCCTCACCAATGATAAGTCTGACGCGCTAAACGTCGTGGCTTGGTGGGTAAACACCTAACAGTGCCGCTTGGGAATGCAAGCAGTCCGGCCGCCTGTGAAATCCTAGCTTCTTGCCGGTGTACTCCTGTTGCTTGCTCTATTCCTACCACCGCTCGCCGTTCCAAGTAGATGTTAACTCCTGTTTATGTCTTTTTTTCTTTCCACGTAGCACTCCCTAAACTCGCTCATTGAACGGGAGTATATCAAGCGTGATTTGAATAACCGTGAAACCTACGAGTACATTGCATAGTTCTCCCGAGTTCTCGCATTCGTTCGCTTCCTCCCACCGCCTTCTCCGCCCCTCCCCCCCCCACACCCACATGGGATTGTATCGCGTTATCTGATCGGCGTTCGCCGCTGTTCCGTGCGTGTGTGCGCACGCGCAGCCCATTGTATTTACTTGATATGTCTTCGCCCTCCCCCGCGCTTTCGAAACACGTTTCCCCGGCGGACGGCAAGAGTCCTCGCAGCAGCCTGCTTCGAGGTGCTGGCCAGCGGCCATTGGGGTTGCCATGTCTGGGGGACACTCCAAGGTCTCTCCTCCTCCTTCCCCAGCCGCTCCTATTTTTGCGACTGCATAGAGGCCCGCCTCAACAATGGCCAATTTCATCATCTTTCTGTGACCTCTTCACACTCCCCCTCCCTCATCACCACCTACTCATCGTTGACCTTGTTCCTGGCGTTTTCTGCTCCTATTCACAAATTTGTTAGGTCAAGTATGCTATTTTGACTGTTAACTCGTCCATACCCTTTTACACTTTCTTTTGCTACTACTACTACTACTTTAAGGCAGTAGCACGACGACGGTTCATTGTCAGCCTTCTTTGGTGTTCTGGAAGGTGGCGATACATTTGCACTCACATGCAGACGCTTGTTACTTGTATTTTCCCCTTGTATATCTCTTGAAATTCGGGCCAAAAAGAATGCCTGTCAGTTTATCTCCTTTCTTCCATTTCATTCTGATGTGTGCGGGAAAAGTCATGCAGGGCTCGTCCCTGAAAAATTATTTCAATAGGTGTGGTGATATGCTAACCTTCTTTATCGTCGACCAACGCAAGCACCGACAGGTTGTGCCATTAATGAGCATTTTTGCAGTTGAAGCTGCTCCATAATCCGGTTGTAAATTTAGCTCGCGAGCAAATGCAAAGAGACAGTGATAGTCTGCACTGGTTGGCATACCTGAGGTGCCAATCTCCTAGGTAGACTTGAAATCGTTCTTCGCCAATGTTTCGTGGGTAATTCGGTGGCGGTATGGCTTCTGAAATCTGTTTTTTTGTTTAGGTACGTTGGGCTACCTTAGTCGCCTAAATCGTCGTATTACTATTCTAAAATTTATTGTGAGCCTCACGGTTCTATCCGGCCAAACAACTCTGAATAGGCTGCTGGCACAGCCGAGAAAGTTTGGCGCTGTGTCCTCCAAATTCCACCAGAATGGGTTGCAGGCGTGGCTGCCTGACGAATACATGTAAGCCGGAAACTTTATTTCGGTCCAACTGTGAAAAGGACTCGGCGACATTCGAGCCCACGATAGCTAACGGGGAGGCTTGAGAACAGCCAACGCTCTAGCCACCTGAGCTACATGGCCCCACCGAGAATGGCCAATTCCACAACTGAGGTCCTTATCGGTGACTTTTGCATTACAGTCTGCTGGTCCCTATGCGAGGATCCTAGGTCGGAACCCCAAATCAGATCGGAGGACTGCTATTCTGCCCTGTGCTGAAGCTAGGTCTGTTAGCATCAGTAACATGTTACAACCCTATCACTTACTGTTTGGTCAACGCCCAGTTTAATGACGAATCAGCATTGTCTGTTTTTACCAGGATGGCGGACTGGATTTCAATTATCTGACCAAATGGGTACACGTCTAGGAGTCCAAGGACTCCGCTCTGGCCGTCCTTTTCCAGCAGTGGTTATACAGTAGTACTCGTATCCGATCGCCGAAAACTCCTCTGGGGAGAATTGCTGTTAGGCGTCCCTTCGGACAATTATTGCTGTGATCTGGACCCTATTGTCCCGCCTCTGCCTGCGTCCAGGTCACCACCTCTCACAGTTACCTTAAATTCGGTCAGGCAGTTGGTAAGGATAAAATTTCTCCAATTTTCTGTCCAACTAATTAATCGACAGGATTGTCAACTGGGGATTCGCGTCACGCTGATGGTGGTGCATTGATAACTGCGTGGCGTCTGACCTACCTGGACCAGGCTAACGACCCGCCGTATTCACGGTCAAAGATTCACGTGTTTGGCAGTTTAGTTGATTTGTTAGTCAGCGTTGCTAGGGCCATTACTGTCGCGCTGCGTCGTTGTCTATCGTAAAACGTCTTTTTATGACCAGCAACTGCCAGCTCAGAGAAATGGGAACCTTAAAATGCCCCGGACCCAAGTTACAACCTAATCTTGTTTTGGGTGTTAAGTCTGGGGATTTTCTGCGTGATTCTCGAACTAAACACTTAAGGAGTTTTTTCATATATTTTCAAACGCCATGCCTGATAACTCACCTGTAATTACTTGAAATAATTATTTTTGTGGTTAGATTTTAAGTATTATCAGCTATTTATCGCTAAAAAAGTCAGACTGTTTTGACACAATGCGTTATGTTTTTTATTTTGTTTTAAATATGCACAATTTAAAAACACTGCCGCCGTCTCAGACAAAACACCCCGAGGCATAAGCACGCAGGAGGACAATAAGAATGACCTTCAAACGGCCAGTCAAACTGTACTCCCTTCAGTGCCATCTATCTCTCTAGCGAGTTCTCGTACGCTTTAAATTTTCGATTTTTCATGTAAGCGATGGTCACCACTGCGTAAAAAACACCCTTCTTTTCAAGTTAGGGCACTTCCTTTCAAATGAGTCAAACCACAAGCATACCCAAAACGTCACTTGGGAAGCTTAGGTCGTCCAGGGAAAACGACTGGCAGAGTGTGAGTCCTTTTCTGACGCTCTTGCTATGGGTTGGGGCATTGTCCGCCTTCTGCTCGCTAGCGAACCACCCATCCGAAAACGACAAAGTTAGCAAATTCAGACCTGGTTAGCATGGCCTGTCAAGATCTCAAATTGACTTCCAGGCCTATACTTTCGGTCTTCACCGGAATAGGGCTTGCCAGCCCACTTCCCTCAAGCCGCTATTCAAAGCTGAGGGATGGTCTTGAAGGCGCTTCACTGTAAAGTTAGTACACTGCCAGAACGAAGTGCGCTTATTCCCTTTTCATATCGATGGCATAACTCAGTGTAGGTATTTACTCCCATGAGCACGTGAATGTAAGAATCAAGCTGGTCTTCCCATTTCAGTATATTCTGTCCCTGGTAATTCGCTGGTGGTTTCGGCTGCGAGGCCTGGAGCAGCGGAACAGAGGACATGCAATAGATGACCCAGCTACTGAATGGTGTCGAAATTTGCGAATGATTGCTAATCGCTTGCAAACCAACACCAATCCATGGACCCGATATCTACATTAATAAAGAACAACTTTAAGGGAATTACAAACATAAAAGAAATATCAAAAATAATGTTACGTTGTTTAGAAATAGCAATATCTATGGAGAAGCGGAGTGTACCGAAAACGTCAGAAACACGGTTGTGATTGTGTAAACTTCAGCTTTAGATGCACAGAAAGTCTGTCCAGCAAAACACCGAGTAACTATGATGGCAAAAATAGAACAACCCTTGAAAATAGTGTTTTATTGACGTTTGCGTTTAAATATCCCTTATGAATTAGTTTAATATCAGGTATGGCAATTTGCCACCAGCCTACATTCTGTGAGTGTCATCAACTGACTCCAGGAACGTTTACTTACTTGGCTAGAGTACAGAGCACACTTGTGTGATTTTGCCTAGGAGTTTCAAACTCAGGCCAGCTAACAAAGAAAAGCAGGTCAATATCTCTAATTCCAGTCTTCCGGGTTTTTATTCCTTCTGTAGCTGTTCGATTCCTTGGAAAGTACACAGGCGTGTCAAAGCTTGGGATACAAAACTAAATGTATGGCACAACGACTTCTTCTGCTTCAGCCAAGCTAGACAGTCTTGATATAAGGACACGTTGAGGTGGTCAGCCGAAATGCAAGTCAAAGACAAGAAAGCAGGCGGAGATGAAACAAGGTTTGGCGTTTACTGAAGTCTGACAAACCTTGAATCCACAGAACGTGGTTGTATAAGACTGAGATCGGCTATCCTTAGAAGCTTCACAGAGGGCAGTCGAAAGGAGTCAAAAATACCAAAAAGCTCGTCAGTGTCACGCTGCGTGATTATCCATCATTCCCAAATACTGAGGTGGAGGATTACAGTGCGGTCCACATTGCAACAATTGGCGTGCGGCAGCAGAGCAAGGAAAGAAAGTCGCTCGCCACAATTCAGCAACATACATGAACGCCACGAGTCCAATAGCGGGCTTGTCGAAAGTTGATCTAACAAACAGAGTGTCAGGAGAAGTGACCCTGGGTGCAAGATCCAAAAAGCGTCCGAGAATCAACCACCTTGCTCACCGTCTGTAAGTAATGAGGGAACAACCACGCAGGCGTTTTCATTTGCTGCTGGCAGGTCTTCCAGCTGCTGGGTCAGTTGATTGCTGAACTGGAGATGGTGAGCAGGCCAAGACAATAAAGCAGTATTTAGTTTACCTGGGGATCGCTTACCTTGAGGTCTCCTGCGAAGCTGTAGACGAATCTGCATCTTGGAGATGAGCAGACAATGGTCAGTCCACCCGTCGGCACACGGAATCGCCTTGTCACCAGCACATCCCGCTGGTCTCGCCTCCGGACTAGGACATAGTCCACCAGATGCCAGCGTCGCGACCCAGGATGCATCCAGGTGACCTCTCGCTCCGGCAGACAGAAGAAGGTGTTCGTCAGGATGAATCGGTGTTCTGCACAGGTTCGTAGGAGGAGTGGGCCATTGTCATTGGAGTGGTTTAGAACATGGAGACCCAGAACTCCTCTCCAGGCAGCACGGTCTGTGCCGACACGGGCTTTGAAGTCCCCTAGGACAGGCAACTTGTCCGCCTTCGACACAGACAACAGGAGAACGTGCAGGTCCTCGTAGAATTCGTCACTCCTCTCGGCGGGTCTGGTCAGCGTAGACGCTGACGATGGTGGCGAATTGGTCTCCCCGGAGAGGCAGACGGAGGCTCATCAGGCGATCGTTGATGCCCTGTGGCAAACAGGACTGTCGTCCCACGCTATCGTTCCGGATGGCGAAGGCGAAACCCCCGTCTCGTCGCTCTGCCTGGGGCGACCGCTCCAGAAGAAGGTGTAGCCGGCACCTACCTCCTTCAGTTGGCCTTGTTCGGAGAATCGGGTCTTGCTGAATGAGGCGATGCCCACCTTGTAGCGCGCCATTTCTCTAGCCCATAGCCCCGTCCTCCGTTCCGGCCGGCTGCTTCTCAAATTGCCTACAAGAGAACGAACATTTCAGGCTGCCAGAGTGAGGGGACTCACTCTACCAGTCTGATGAGTGGATCGGCGGGGAGGAGAAGAAGAAAGGGAGAGTATGGTTCCTTGTTTGATTGTTTCGACCGTGTGTTTTTTTTGTGCGGCCTGCAGACAGCATGGATCCCGAGCATTTGTTTAGGGCACAATTGCTAGCCCTAAATAGCCCATAAATAGGTCTGCTCATTTGTCCCAGACGGCCTCCGAACTCCACCACGGGCTCCGACTTGTGTTTTGTGCAAGAACGACCCGAGTTAGTTTGGGCATGCCCACATATCGCCGTAGGGCTTGCAGGGGGAGGAGACAGGAGGTGGGTAGAGAAACGGAAAACAGAGCCTTTCCGTCCCCCTCTAGGCTAGCTGGTTGCTAAAATACAATCGGTGAATGGCCAAATTCAAAAGAAAGGCAGTTAGCATACAGCAAAGACAAACAGAAACAAGCAGACGAAGGCCAGGCAAACAAGAACAAGCAGAAGCCGTGTCAGCCAGAGGAAATTCAACGGAACGGCATTTAGCTTACAACAAGGGCGAACACAAACAAACACAAAAAACAATCAAGCATGAACAAGCAGAGCAATGCTTACTCACTTGAGGGCTCACTCACCTTGTGGCCTCCCACGGTGTTCCAGGTGGAACCTCATCTCGGAGATACCGATGCGGTGACTCATCTCTCCAGCGGAGCCGAAATTACCGTGTGCGGAGATGCACACATGAATACCCTTGCCTGGTTTAGCCTACCGGTCGAGGCGGTTACCGGGATGTGGCCAGTAGGCAGAGCCTAGCTTTGGGGAGCCCCATGTGCAAATTTGGTGCCTCAAAATGGACGCTAGGCGTAATGTACACCGTCACGTCGACCCACAGCTGGATTCCCCTACACCCCTCATACACAAATTCCTCACATGCGTGGGATTGCCATGGGCCACGTTAAGAAGGAGCCGTTTTAGCCTGGGTCTCAGTCCACCAGTCCGCCATTCTACACGAACACAAACACACAACTTGGCGGTGAGCGTATGTTTGTGCTCTAGCACTGGTTCGCCAGTCTCTGTGCGAAGGATTCGCAAGTGACCGACCAGGCTGACGTGGCACACACAATCCTCACGTGTGTGAGAGTGCTAGAAGTCACGTCAGGAAGGAGCCGTTGCAGCCTGACTCTCAGCTCATCAGTCCGCCACTCTACACAAACATACACACAATTGGGCAGACTTCGTGGACCCTGTGGAGGCGTCAATCGACAACCTTCCGAACCGCGACACTCAGCCCACCGTGATAGTACCCGGCTCAGATCACGCAGGCAGCAAAGGAGCCAAGTGGAGAATGAGCTGAGCAGCACAATTCCCACATAAATGAGAGGTGTCAATTGCGTGACCGTGTGATATGATGATGGGTGATGCTGATATGTGGTGCAGGTACAAGTTGGGGAAGTGCGATGGTGTGGTGTAATGGGCAGCGGTCTTCCGCAGGTTTTCGTGAATGCGCGTGAAACCTAAAAGGCCCATGCTCTGTCCCAATGTTCAGGGGCGGTAAGAGCAGTTGGGGCGGATATGGCGAGCGCAGATTGATGCTCCAGGCACTGGTACGACAGTCTCTATGCGATGGACTTGTTAATGACTGACCAGACCGATGTGTGATGTGAAGTGAGTCTGGATGACACACCTTCCTACTCTGGGAAACAAAGTATAGGTCCTCTTAATCTGTCTATGTCGTCTGCCAAGTCTTTGACAAAAAGATGTACGCTGAGGTGTCAGGCCAGCTTGCCTTTGGCCGCCAGGCCATTTTTCAAAATCTACCTGCTTGCTCTTACGTAAACGACCAGTAACTGTGGGCAGACACGCGACCCAGATGTGCGCTTAGCGATCAGTTCTTAGGTTTTCTGAATATCGCTCCACATACTTACTGGATTTTTCTGCCGTGCGCAGTCAGTCTGATGCACATTATTAAGTGTCGCATTCGGAAGATACTAATTGTTAGGTCGTGAACATATCATTTATGCCATTCTTAACTTACAACGTTCACGCAGACTTTATTCTTTTTTCTGCACCGATGTTCTGCATTGGGCATTAATAAATTTTTCCACATTTTCCGCACCGGTTCTCATTTTTGCGGATCTCCCAGGTCTCTTGCGTTCTACATCTAAACCGAACCGGCTACCTGATGTCCTCGCTGAATCCTATCAAACTGTCATTTTTACCTTATCTGAATTCCAAAAAAATGCATTTGAACACTACTTCCTTGGCACTTAATCAAGTTGTTACTCGGCGAACATTACCGAGAACGTCACGAAATTTCACAGCTTCGTCCAGGTTCTGCCATTGCAGGTTCTATCTAAAGTGCAGGCCGGCCGACGTATCGTACACACAACTAAGGACGGTAGTCCTTCGACTACAAGCTGTATCTGATCGTCAGTGTTATCGCCGACTTACAAACAAGGAGTGTCTGGGTGATGGCAAACCAACTGAGCTACTGAGAAAGATGAAGGTATTTTGTGGTGGGCTAAATATCGAGGATGGTTTGTTTAAGGGAACATTTTAGGACGTCTGCCAACAATCATCTGATTCTGAGAATCACTTAGTCTCACAACTAGACATAATGGCGGATTGGGCGGTGCAGGTGTAAGGGTTCCAGTCGCCCAACTCTGCACTTTGTCGGTGGTGATGGCGAACAAGCATATAACGATGCAGAGGGCGGCCGTGGAGGAGGATACATATCTCTGAATCTGCAGCCCGCGCGCCTCGCCTCCTGTAGATCATCTAGTCATCACCGTTCTCGTCCTCGACCTCGAATTTTCGACGTCTATTTGTATCATGCAAACTTTGGCCTTCGGGCCCATCGATGTGCTTCACACTGTTCCTCTCGGTCAGTTCAGGGAAACCCTTCGGCTGGAGATCATAGGCGGCCAACCTCTATGGCAATCCTGCCGACCGTACATTTCGACTCTGCGGCAGGAAGAGTGGTGGACGTGCCCTTGTTGACACTGATGCTGAAATAAACGTCATCCCGTCTACTTCTGCTGACTGATATTGTCCCAAGTCTGAACTTTTTCCTCCAGGCTGTAAATTCCTCCCATATCCCCACATTTGAATCCTGCTGCCTCTCTCTACATTGGCCCTAAGCAACTCTTTCCCTTGATTTCAGTGGTGGCCGTTGTTTCTACCGATTTTCTTAGATTGTCTGACCTTTTGGTTAGCTGTAAACAACACTGCTTTCGTGATCAGATTATCACTCTCACTATTAACGACTTCTCACTCATCCACAGTTTCAGTTCTGTTTATCGAGCGACATAGGCGTGAACCTTTGAAACGCAAAATCGACTGTAGTGTAGGCAGAAATAATATGGGCTAAAATAGTTCAAATAGGCCAAACCGCATGAAGAATTGGGCGTGAATATCAAGGAATAAGCTTGACCTCTCACACATCTTGTTCATTTTGGAACATAAATGCGTCACGGTTCCTTTTAAAACTGCATATCGATTGTAAAATTACAACATCTGCGAGAAACGCATTCCATGGTTTGACCGATCTGACGGAGAGGGAGAACTCTCGCACATCCAGCCTCGTCTGCTGAATGTGTAGTTCAGTGTGTGACCTCGGAATATGGTAGTGGGAGCAAATTTTAAAAAGTCCTCAACGGCCATGCTGCAGTCCAATCCTTTCACAGTACGGAGTGCTTGTAAGAAATCCCACGCTGTTGCCTATAACTCAAAGGGGGAGTTTCAGATCTGTTCTGCGGGTTGCATAAGGAAAGGAGTTTTGACCCCTAACCATGTTCGTTAGTCGCCTCTGAACTCCTTGAGTATTATTATGATTTTGAATGGCCCACGGTCTCAAGACTTGTATGCCATATTGCAAATGAGGCGTCGCGAAAGTGCCGAAGATCTGGGGAATAGGTCTCCAACGAAATTTACTAATGATCGCCTGATGGCATACAACGCGGACATTGTGCCTTTTGCCACTCTGTAGAAATTAGTGGATAGATTTAAGGAATTCCTTGTCAGCACAGCGAGGTCCAATTGGGTTTCGACGTGTCGCAAAGCTGCATCGGCAAGAAAGTGGCTTATCGTGCTGGTGGATCTGGCTGGGATGTCTAAGCAAAGTACGGTACATTTGCCGATGTTTAATCGCATAAGCCAACGGTTTGACCATTCCTCCAACCGACTTAGGTTCACCTGAAGTCTATCTTCATCAACAGGAACCCGGATTACATTCCATCTTTTTATCTCGTCAGAAAACATTGCTGCTTCGCAGCCCAGAGCTATTGCTTAATCGTCCACGCATATTAGGAGCAAAATGGGTCCCAGTATTGGACCGGGACGGACCTCAATCTTTACCACGGCAGGGTCTGACAAATGTACACAACATGGTGCCGACCCATAGGAAAGTTTTCTACTTCTCCCAGTTTCTATAACAGTCCCTGGATTTGCGCTGTATCGAACGCTTTCTGGAAGTCAATGTAAGCAATCTTAGGCTCTTGCCTGCCGTAAAGAGCTCTGGCCAGGCTTTGGAGGGACTGCAACCAGTTTGTCGTACAGGACCCTCCTTTCTGGAAACCGCGTTTCAGTTTGAGGGTAAGTTGTGGACTTCCAGGAACAGAGACAATTCGCTCTTCGTAATCCTCTCCACAATGTTGCTGTAATGCATGTCAAGGTTATGGGTTTCAATTTGTAATCGACGGCCTGATTATGCCTTTGTATAGTTAAGACATATATTTTAATGACGCCAAATGCTAAATTCCGTTCAAAGGAGCGCGGTAGAGGTACAAAAAGCTCATTGGGAAGTTTTTTTAAAATGCTTGGGAGGGATCTAGTTTGGTCCTGGACACCTCGATTCGTTCAGTGTCTTTAATTCTCTAAGGATAATGTCTTCTGAAAAACTGTACTACTTATGCTTGGGGTCGGTAGTTGTCCTGTGGAGGGA